GTCTGCGGTTACACCTCACACATAGCTTCAGGCAAAGTCAGGAAGGTAATTGCCCGATCGTATTCTCTAAATTGACTGATTTAGGAGATAAGTTTTATTTATTGCCGTTTCCGATCTGAGCGTTGCCTAGCAACGTGAGAGTTCCTGAGAAGAAAAACTAATTACATTACAATGTAAGTTATTTCGCCGATTCAAAAAGTTTAGCCAAAATAAGGTATGAGGTGTGCATAAAATCATAACATTTTTGGATTCGCCACGGGATTTATCAGTGAGACAATATGCCAGAGATCGGACAGTCGCCGTTCATCGCTCTAAAGCAGCGTTCACTTGAAACAAGATTATGTTGAAGCAGCTGATGATAACATATATTGCCTCTAGGCTTGCACGTAATTTACGGATTTACGGAATTACGGAATTATTTCGAGTTACGGAAGCGAAGTTACGAATTACGTAAATTCGTAAGTATTGGTGGAGCGCTTTCGCGATTGCAACGAGCTCTCTTTAGAGCAGTCAATTCCGTCGATTGTAAAAAATTAAAGTTTAATAAGTAGAAGAAGTTAGAGTTCCGGTATTCGCAGCCGTTTTTTTCTCTCTTGTTATGCAGATGGAGAAGGCATAACGCGTTGCCATTTACTAACCTATTACCAACTTATCTAGCATGGCAAATGTACATATCAAGCGTAGATATGGGATAGAATTGTGTTGAGACTGATGGACGCCAACACACCTGGTTTCAACTTCTTCGGGTGAAATGACTAAAGAATGTAAGAGATCAACTTATAAAACATGGTCTATTTGTAAATGCCGTGATAATTAATGTCGCGCTTATCAAACAGCAATATGACGACGGAAGAGAACTTGCGTAATGAACCAACGCAACTTAGTCTTTCCGGCATCGGTAAAGCGATTCAGACGGCAGAGAAACAACAAAAAGACGGGATTTCCCATGTTTATTCTGCGCGAGATCCATTTTCTATTACAAAATCTTGATGTCCTGTTACCGGTTTTATCCTTATATATCTGTCCGTACTTGGCCTTGTTTTCACAATGCCTCGCACTATCTCGGCCAAATATGTCTTTACAATATCTTTAAGTCTTTACCAAATGCGGCAACTTATTTTGATTTATCGTCGACTCAAATACCACCGGCACTCGACCAAACTTGTGTCAATCTTAGCCGATAGGATTGTCGACTTGAGTTAGAAAAGTAAATTAATATTTTCGTGAGTGCAAAATAAATGCCACCAAATGCATTGTTTTGCGATATAACTTTGTATTTTCGGAGAAGGCATGTCACATAAGTACGGTATTTAAATAATGCGCAAATAATTAATATTTAATCTAAATTTATCGCAAATAATGTTATAACATTTAGGCCGCGAAATGATTTAATGTAAAATGAAGCATGGTAATCGGAATATCGTCAATAAGTCGGCATCAATAATTATTATAAAATGCTAACTAGGTAGTGAAGTCGGATAATGTAAAAAAAAACGGTACAATAACAAGTCTTCGTCGTGAGGCAAGTATAATCAAACGAGAGAATACGCTCGTCGTTGATTTATAAATTAGAAACCCGGAATTTTTATTTAATACGAAACTCGTAATACGAAACTCGTATTAATACGTTAATACGATTTTAAAAAAGTCAACTATCGTTTCATAAATATATTACCACATACCAGTGTTGGTAATGATAAAATTGATCGCATAAAATTGGGTGATAAAGTTGATAAAGGAAAATCAAAGCTAACACAAAAGATAAAAATCAGAATAAAATTAATTTGAATTCACTCCTTGATATTTGTCTTTAGCATATGTCGCCGGCGTGTAGTACTGGCGGAAATATGAAAACCAAACTGTCCCAACTGTCGATGTCCCATTCGGAATAGAAGTGGATTAAATTGGTTGTTATGATAGGTTTAAAAGTGTGAAAAAAATATCGCAATTACGGGATCATTACGTAATCGATTTGGCCGTAATTACGGAATTGATTTTTGTCAATTACGTGCAAGCCTAATTGCCTCTAGCAAAGCTTGTTACTTATCGATTTTATCTGTAAGTATGTTGATAGGTATTTGTCTGTTTGTCTGTTAGATGCACGCGATATCTCAAGAAGGCGTGGTTGAATCTGCTCCAAATTTTGCATGTGCATTCATTATATGTCGTACCAGAAGCCTACTGATTTTGGATGAATTATGTCGTATAATTAGCGAGTTATTAATTAATTAACGATGGGACACAAGGTGTCACTACACCTTAACTTTCGATCGATAAGTCTTCGGTCTCTGACCGATATTCTCGTATTTCACTATTCTAACAAAAAATAAATGTTTCTAGTAAGCACACGCACGACTGGTAAGAAGAAAACTAAATAATCCAATCAGAAGTCTTGCTGTACATTAACACAAATACAGCTGGGGCACAGAAGGAATCTCAGATAATATATTGAATATCCATTTTTATTGTAGCTATCTATAAAGACGAATTTCAGCAAGGCAATTCAGTACTCTCATAGTATGTGCAACATGGTGGCGGACACCGGAACGTAGTATGTGTACCAAGTTAGGGCTAAACCATAATTTCAGGTAAAAATACTACGGGAGTCACTTGGCTAGTCCCAGAACTCGTAATAGAACTAAAATAAGAAAAATTGGAAAAATAATATGGCTTAACATTAACCTGGTACACATACTATGTTCAGGTGTCCGCCATCTTGTTGCACATACTTCGGGATCGGCGGCAAATCATCGCGTGACACTGCGTGGCACCTTTAGGTTTATTAACTAAAATATAATTCGCAGACCATAAAAACTGAGATATCCTGGACCCCATTACAATGTTGTTGTTAAGAAATTCAATAGTATTGCCACACACAATCATAAATGAGTTTCTATGACGATTCATTCGAACAAAAACTCATAAAATGCAAAGATGACTACAGTATTCTGATTAAAAATCTGACTGTACGCTAACACATTAACGATTAAATCAGATTGAAGATTCTTTCTACAGATAATTACATGTGGATTCGCCGACAAAGTCGAAGTCGAAACCTTTCCTTCTGTACTTGCACTCCCGTCACAATGAACAAACACGAAAACAAGCTCTTCTCCACGCATTCTAGAATCCCCCTTTTTTTATTGTGCATGTGTTGCAGTATGGCTCACTAACATACTTGCTATTTCGTGGAAAGAGATTATGCTCTTCTTATTTATCTACATGATTATATCTATATTCTCTATATAATTATTTTCAAATACCTACAGATACATTTACTAATACAGTTTTTCCACTATTGCCAAACTTGCTACACTTTGAATATCATTTTGTTTACGAAACGCCCTATCCTGACAACGCTACCTACACATGCTCATTGGATTGATTGACATTTAAAACCCCATGGAGACAGAACTCTGCTCAGACTAACACACATCGCCACAAACTGAAAAAAAAAATCGACCAGCAATCCATGGTTATTGCAGAAAATACATGAGCAATTAGATTTCTTATGAATATCACTATTATTCGTGTACCAACTATGGCCAGAATTAAACTATGCTAAGCCGATTTTAAAACGCCGACTAATTTCTAACAATGACCATAAAATACTGTTAAATTTACATTTGTTTCTAATTAGACTCTTTAATTACCCGGCGGAAGCATATGTTCCACGCTTGAGCGATTATATTATGTTGTCACAATCGATACAATTTTGAAACAATGATCAATTAACAACGGGCGTCAACACTTTGTTACAAAACAATAGAAAGGAACAACACTATAAAAAAAACAGAAAATTCACTAAGCAGTTACGGATAATTCAATTTTAATTCAAAATTTGCTCAAAACTAGAAAGCTAGAATTCGATGTAAATCATGGTATCTTCCTACATATGTCTACTACTGATGTCCTGTTTTGAGCGAATATGAATTACAAAAAAATCCCATGATAGGCTGCGGAAAATAAATTACACTGATTGTCAGCTAGTTTACTGATTTTTTTTACAGTTGGTCGGTCGAACTGTCTGTGACGTCAGAATACAACGAAATGAAAAACAATTAAACAATCAAGTTGACGCTAATTACGAATTGATTATTGCTTTGTTTGGGCCTTGCTTGTGCTGTAGATACAAGGAACTTGCGGTTCCTTGGCAGTTTAGGCTCGAAAACCTATATTGTATAAGCAAGGTATTAATGGTAGCTTACAACTTTTCTATCAGTACTCTGTCCAATTTTAAATCAAGGGCTATACTATGACTAAGACCGGCTTCAGATAAAAATAAGTAAAATGAAACATTTTTTCGATAAATTCATTTAGGTTGTATTTGTTCTAATGCACAAATAAATCTGAATCTACAAACATTGAGGCTTTTCATTTTCTTATATCTCGATACTCTTTCATGATCAAATATATTATATACTGCATATTTTTTTATATCGTATTTAGTACGTAACGTTGGTACTTGCGCCAAGCCGATTTACCAGTAAATTCGATTTACGGACAGACTACTTCGGCAGAGTGCGCTTAAAATGTCTAATCTCGAAGGGGAAAAGTAAACTGTCGGATCTCGATACATTTCAATGATCAAATACGTTTCCGACATTCTGGAAACACCTGCTTGGTACGGTCTAATAAATATACTGATGGGAGCAATCGACCGATATCACAGGTCTATCTCAGCTTTCGCCAACTGGATGCCACAAACCTCCTAACTATAAAGACCTAGTTGACGACTCCAGTGGTCTGGTTGTCTAAATTACGCGATCAATGATGTCATAGACAATTTTACAACGATCCAAATGAGGTCATAGAACAGCTTAAACTCGCGGTAAAAACTATAATGAAGTCACAAATTTACAACTTAACGATCCAAATGAGGTCACAGATGGAGCTATAAAGTTACTCTTGCGAAAATCTAAATTACGTCATAGAAGATGTCATAACCTCGCGGTATAAAAATCTAAATTACGTGATAGATGATGTCATAAACAACTTACGTTCACACCAAGGTATAACCCCATGCTGTTCGTTGCTCCATTTTCCCTTCTTGTCACAGATTATCAAATCATCGAATCCCTGTTCAATACGCATTGTGTAGCCCGTCTTACATCTGTATCTGAAAAGTAACTCAGCGTTTATTCCAATCTAAAGTGTTTCTATTTCCCAAGATAGCTCTCGACTTATTGTGGCAAATACTGCATAGTTCAACACGCGACAAGTAAACGGGAAACGGAAAACGTTGGTTTTCATGAGTCTTGAGGGTCTAAAAGCCTTCCAAGCTACGAAAAATTGAATGCATGGTACAGAAAAACGTTTTTTTTTACATTCCACAAAGGGGTCCCGACGCTCGACCACGTGGCCACACAAAATTTATTAAAAAGGTCGGGAACCACTGGATTAAATATGCAATTATGGTTAATAATACAAAGGGTACTAAGGGTATCGGAACGTTTCTCCTTATTCACTTCCTACTCCCGTATCCGTATGTGTCAGTTGTTACAAGGATGCTTGAACGAGATAATGTTATAAAGATAAATAAGGAGAGCATAATCTCTTTCAATGAAATGGCAAATATATTTGTTAGCTTTCGTTAAATCATAGTCTAACTTCTTCCGACAACTTAACTTGATCAAACATCATTTTGTTTTGATCTGAAAAAAAAAGTTAAATCATGACCTAACGAAGTGTCCGGAATTTTTTGAAATGAGATCATGTTATTCTTAATGGACGTTCTCCCAACCCTTGACCCCAGAAAAATTCTTTCGATACTTCACCGTTGCAAAAAGTTTCGGCTGCAGAAATCGCAATTGTTACGTCATTGTTATCTTATTGCTGATTGGGTATGGTTACAGAAATAAACAAGAAAATCGATTCTCGGGGAAACATCCAGTAATATAATAGTTAATCTATACCTGACCGGTTGTTCTCCGTAGCGGAATCTTTCAGGCTCATCATCGACGATCAGTCCTTCAGAATCGATCGGTAAATGGGGATATCCGCACGATACAGCTGAAATGTAAAATAAATTTGTTGTTTTTGTTAGAAAATCCCCTGGACGTTTTAGGGGTCGGGCGGAAAATTTGAAATTGCGCTCCTTGTGACGGTTCCGCTCACACGTAAGTTGAAATCTGCTGCTTAGCTACGCTACGGTACCTATACTGTGACAGATTGAATACCCGTAACATTTCGTGTCCATTTATATTGCATATGAGCATGTTTTTTTTTTGCTCCTTCATCTGTTTATCTTAGGATGAGTTAGGTTAAACGTAAGGTTAAAGCAATAACCCAACCTGATTTTATAGTTACGATCCAGTGATTGTCCCACCTCAGATTTTGTCATTTGTTTTCTCTGATTCAAGTTATTCTAGGTTGAGATGAGTTAAATTGGTAGAGGAGATGGCATACCTCTAACTTTATTTGGTCTGGTGTGTTATATACAATAACGAGATTGGACATGTTTTCGAGATGTTTTTGAAGGATTAAATTCATCTACTCACGTGTACATGGATTACTGAAATCATCCCACTTTCCGTTGTCTTGACAAGTTCTGACGTTAGTTGCTGACGTCATAGTATATCCGTCTGCGCAACCAATCAGCAAGGTTTTCCTGGGTTGAGTGGTGGAATTCCGTGTCCCGTTCAAAATCATAATTCCGCGATAGGAAGGAGCGGGAAAGTTTAGACAAGCTGAATGAAAAAAAAGAATTACTGAACTGGCTGAAATGAGGTGTAAAATGTCGTTGTTGCCTAGTGGAAGAATTCTCAAAGTGCTTCATACAAAGCCCCATGCCCCCGAGAGAGAAATCTAGGGTCTCCGCTATCTATTCGTTTACCCATTAAAATATTGAATATTTGTTAAATAGAAAGAAGCAAATACATCCGAATCATTGAAATCAAGTAATTTCAGTTTCCTCGGTGACATTAATCGGTAAATAACAATGTGTTTTTTGTTTTATTGTGGGGCTCAAAACACCAAAAGTCTAAAAACGAACCCCTTGTTGACGCGTTAAATTTAAGTATGTCGTCGTTGCAGGTTACAACTAAAAATACAACTAATACAAAGGAATATTTGACTCGACGGTGTGGCGCATCATGCTAAGCGTTAGGAGGAATACGTGCAATACGTTCGAATATCGTGGGGATGGGGCTCCCGAAGTATGTGAACCAAGATGGCGGACATCGGAATGTAATATGTGTACTAGGTTAGGGTTAGGCCATAATTTTAGGTATAAATACTACGGAAGGCTCTTGGCTAGTCTTCGAACTAATAATAGGACTAAAATAAGGAAAATTGGAAAAAAATTACCGCCTAACCCTAACCTGTTACCCATGTTACGTTCCGATGTCCGCCATCTTGGTTCGCATACTTCGGGAGCACCGTGGGGATAATTATGTTCGAGAGGATTGCCGGACTCCTTGCCGCTCAGGGTGGTTCACGTAACCGATCCAATGGTGCACTGTCAAGTCCATGCATCTGAAACTAACCCGACATGGACTGGTAACCAGACAAAGGGCTGCGGTTCGCCATATGACTGAGCCGTCTTAACTGCTCCTCTACCCGAGATAAATATATAAATATTATACCATCATATTTCAGTATTTCATCCCACAAAACTATAAAATCCCCCCCCCCCCCCCCCGCAATTTATCCTTCAAGTGTATTGGTCCGAGGAAAGTTAAAAATCATCACTCACCAAAGTTGAGATTAATAGCTGTAAATCTAATTTCGAATCCTGCAAATTGGGCCGAATCATCAGAGCGGAACTCAATTCTAACTTTATTTGTTTGTGACATCATAGTAGGAGGAGGTTCGTCTCCACAGAAAGATCCCAACCACCACTTGGGGTCGCGATTGAGGCCATCGTATAACGTCACGTTGTCACGGGAACAACCTTCATTACGTTGTTCTCGCTCAAGGTCAAATCTGAATAAAAATAACAAATTTAAATATTGCTTAAATATCAACACGCGGATCAAATGATTTACAAGGCAGCAATTGTATCGAATATTATATGAAATGCTAAAAGAATTATATCTAATAGAAGGGAAATTTGGAAACTTTGAAGGAGCACAACGGACCCGAGGGAACAGAGAAAAGATTAAAAGATAATTTAACGAAAGACGCTTTCATCTTCATCTTTCAACAACAACAAATTAACATTGTGATCCATGAAGTGGAGATAAGCCTTAGAGATCTCAAAGAAAATATGAAAAATATAAAAAATAAACAGCTTCCCGAGAGACTAAGAAAGGCAAGTGAACAGAGTGCGGTTATCGCTTAGCCTTCCTGAAATAACCAAACAAAACGACGGGAGATTTCACGACAACATCAAAAACATTGTGTATTTTTTAACCCATGCAAGCGCCTTTTTAAACATAAACTGACGATTTAGGATTTTATGCTTGATGGAGAAAATCTGAGTCTTGAAAAGAGCCCACTAAATGGCTCAATGGGCCAGTCTCAGTAACCCATTGCACACCACTGCTTTAGACACTTTTAACTTGAACTATTGAATTTAGAAAAATTGAGGAAGGGAGCAAATTATTTTTTGTATAATATCTCGTTTAGTTCATTTGATTCATTTGATGCAAGGATTACTGATAGCGAGTCAGGAAACATCCGGTTTTCAGTAAATCATTCAAGAATAGAGGGTATAATATATATTTATGGATTTATGTCTTAACGCAAATGCCTTAAAATTGCGTTACATTTTTTTTTAATTTGGGAGAGGGGGCATAATTCCTCAGTCCCCCTAGTACGCCGATGGCTAACTCACTTCATAAATCTCAGTTCTATGACCAATCCAGGAGGAACAGCGATGATCCAGACGCAAAAAGCATTGCTCGGGTAGTTCAACGGACTCCTCGGTGATTTTAAAACTCCCTGACGCTTTTTGATGATTCTTTTCCCGCAGACTTTCTCATTGTGGACCTCTATCAATGCCTCGTCCCATTCATCTGACAGTGATGTCCCAGTCTTGTCTGTAGAAAGAGGTTTGAATTGTATTCGCTTAAAGTAAATCTTTAAACTAGGCGATTGGGTGGTTTTTATATTTTAGCCATTAACTTAAGACTCAATGTCGAAAGCGATTGATATTAACTGATGACGCCATACTCTCGACGACGTCATTTGCATCTATTAATGAATGGTTTCTGCCGATTTTCAAACCAGCTACTACTCTTTGCCGAAATCGCCCAATTACCTAATAAGTAAAATCCGAAAACAGGAAATCGAATCCGAATAATCACGTCATAGTTAGTCATGCGCTAGTTAGAAATTGGCAAACTTGAGTGGTAGATAGGGTTGCCAACTATGAAAAGTTTCAATAAAGGATATCATCAAGGTCATCACTTATTTTGTAACTTGCAGGAAAGAACAATATAAAACAATGAAATAAAAATTATATACAAGCTAAACAGATATATTAAAACAATCTTCACGTGTTTTCCATTTAATGTTTATTTAACATTGACCCAAACAATGTTAATAAAATTGTTAATTTTTTTGGCTATTTGAGCCGGACCAAAGCGAAATTGAAAAGAATAATTAAAAGCTTGCAAATACATAAACGGAGGCGATTTTTTTAAGAACGGAACAATATCAAACACGCAGTACTATAACAATCGGACATAATGACGTTGGAAAGAATAAAGGACAATTAGCATCTTTTCTAAATGCTAAAAAGGACAAGGACCGAAAAGCCTAATTAAAGGATTGTCCTTTGAAATAAAGGACGGTTGGCAACCCTAGTGGTAGATGTTTGGCGCTCTAGAATTGTCATGAAATGTTATCAGAAACGTTATTTTGCACGCTTAGTTTTCATATTAAATTTGCAAAGAACGCACACTTTTAAAGCCATGTGGTAATCATGTGCTGGATTGTCGGATCTCTTGTGTACGATGTTGGTTCGTGAAACGATGGCCTGAGACGACACCCTCCATCATGAAGTCAAAGCATCTGAAACAGACTACTAGCTAACTATTCCGATATCCAATATGAACCGGATCGATAACAAGGCAGGAATTTTCTTTTATCTGGGATAAATATATTGATAGAAGAGTTGCAAGCAAATTCTAACTCAGAGATGTAATTCCATATTTGTAGATGAGATGCGAGTGTAATTCTCGTTGATACAAGACTCGGAAAAATTCAAGTCCGACTGTCATGAAAACGGCTAGGTGGAAACAAATTTTACACATTGGAAAAAAGCGCAGTGAAGCGGAACTTACTGGAACCAGAATCCGACCAATCATCATCCTTGAACCAGCTGTCTGCTGTGCACGTGATTCCATCTCCATGGTAACCATTGATGCAAGTGCAACTATAGCTCCCCCTGGTGTTCATGCATTTCGCAAACATGTGACACCGGTTTGTTGACGGGGTGGCGCACTCATTCTGATCTGAAATTAAAAAAAGCTCAATTATATGGACACGAACTGACACGGGTATGCAATCTATAACAACTGAGCAGCAGGTTTGTATTTCCGCGAAAGCGGAACCGCCTGAAAAGCGTAACTTTTAATTTTGATCACAAACAAAAAATCGAATCTTATAGACTTATAGAGGTCACAGAAATCTTTGAAGAAAGAAATAGCTTAGATTTTTTCAAAGCAATTGGTCCAGTAGTCAATAAGAAAAGCATTTTTTTCTTAACAAGAAGAAAAGAAATATTAAAAAAGAGACAACAACAACAAAATAATCAAACGATTTATAGGTCCATTTCGCGTCCAGAAAGAGGGCAATACCGCAATATTTGGAGTTGAGAGTCCAACGAGAATACCGGTTAGAGACCGAGGACTTATCGATCAAAAGTTAGGGGATCCCCAAAACAGCGCTCTTACTCCATAGTGACACCTTGTGTCCCATCACTAATTAATTAATAACTCGCTAATTATACGACAGAATTCGCCCAAAATCAATAGGCTTCTGGTCCGAGATATGATGAATGCACATGAAATATTCTGAAGCAGATTCAATCTCGTTTTCGTGAGATATCGCGTGCATCTAACAGACAGACAGACAGACAGATACCTATCAACATACTTACCGGTTAAAATCGATAAGTAATAACTAATATGGTTTCGGATGCCAAGGAAACCCCAGATAAATGTTATAAGGATCGTATCACATGCCATATAAAGGGTGGGGGGTATCTAAAAAACGAGGTGAAATATCTGGCTACGTTTTGATCAGGTAAATGAGATAAATTCCATAAACGTAGTAACTCATACCTTGGCATAATAGCGTGGGTCCAAACCACGTCTGATCATCCATGCATGTCTTTTCAACCCCGCCCACCTGTCCATCAATCTGTTCATATCCTTCCCTGCAATGAACTTTGACTTTTGAGGTCACGTGGTTTCCCTTTCCGACAACTTCACTCTTATAATCAAAACTGGGCGGTTGGCAATCTAAACGAGACAGAACAAAAATTTTCAAAATGTTCACTCGACCGGAAAAAATACAGAATGCCGCAATCTATGCGAGAATGAAACACCCCCGCTCTATTATCTCCCAATAGTAATTTTGCACTTTATGTACAGCGCCCCCGTCAAAAATACCCCCGCCACCACTCAAAATGGAAATAATAATTAATTCTCCAGTAAGAGTTAGTATTAGAATTAGGAATGCAGATTGCGCTAGAATTCGAATTCTCAAATCTTTCCTAACTCCAACCGGATAATCACGTAACCTATTATTCTAAAACGTGGCGGGCGTTATTCTCAAATCTCTTATTTTTGCACTAGTGGCAAGAGCTTTGTACAAAAGATCCCTGATTTTAGGATTCATTTTCTTTGGTCCCGTCTGCCTTGAGTTAGGTTAGAATAAGTTAGAATACTTAGCAAGATAACAGGGACAATAACCTAGGCTAGTGGATCCCAACCGTTTGCGATATTCTTTTTCATTCGTCTGTTTTATAGTGAACATAACAGGAAATGAGCCGGAAAACGTGCTTTTCATGAGTCTTGACGATCTAAAATGGGTTTTAAGCTACTAAAAATTGTTTTGTATGACACAGAATTTTTTTTTTTTTTTTTTTATTATTTCAAAAGGGGTCTGATCTCAGGTTCCCCCATGTAATGTTGTAACCCACCTTTCACGCATGTATTCCCTATCCTTGACTAACTTAAGATATACAAAATCGAAAAGGACAGATCAGCAAATTAGCAGTTATCTCTTTCTATAGAAAACAAATACAGGAGAATAATACCTGTCCGAATCAATAAAATTCAACCCACCCCTTACGCAGGTATACACGAGCCTCAGGTATTTGCTTGTATCGTAGCAACTCTCTTCGTCTGATGTAACCGGCCTTCCGAGGGTGTCTACGCTAACCTGTGAAGTGAAATAAATAGAATTAGCAAAAACAAAAGAGCAATGCTCAAATATATGGACCAGATGTCATATAACAGTGTTCTCATATGCCATGTAAAAGTGTTCCCTTGAATTTGAATGAAAAAGCAAAATTTTGAGTGAAATATCGGCCAACATTGAACTCAAAACATAGGGCTACTTTTTTATTTACTAAGTTATGAAAGCTATCCGTGATACGTCCTAATGTGTCCACGCTAACCTGTTAAATAAAGTCAATATAGAATTAGCAAAGACAAGAGAGTAATGCTCAAATAAATGAACCAGATGTTATATACCAGTGTTCTCAAATGCCATGTAAAAGTGTTCTCATGAATTTGAAATAAAACAAGAATAACAGCAATTTGAAAAATGGGTCCACATTTGGGCGCTCCAGAAGTGTGTATACCAATATGGAGGTATCGACTTTCCTCATTCAAACAATAATATTTTAAAAACTTACCTTCATACTACACCTTGTTTTCGCACCACAGAATTTTTTCGCACGGGAGAGGGCGCTAGCACTTTTACACAATACACTCCCATCCATTCCCTGTTTGGCGCAAATGTTCTCGTTTGATGTTCGCCCATAATCGGCTACTGTTACATTCACTGAAGTGCCGTAAGGACAAGTCGCGATGAACTGTCCGCCTTCGCACACTATGAGAGTAGAACCTGAAATATAACGGTAATTAGTAGGATGCGAATTTCGGTTAAAACGGTTTGACCGGTAACAACAAAATATTAACCGGTCAAACGTGGAATTCAGTTATGTCGAAAGAACAGGTGGTGGTGAATTTTCCCCGTTCGCATACAATGCGAGTATATTCTGAAATGAAGGTTGGAATTTCGGTTGAAATGGCCTGACCGTTAACCGGACAATATGAACCAATTTGACCATCGAAATCGGTTATACCAAAATTCCTCAAGGACCGGTATGACCGATACCCACACAAAATTAACCGGTAAATCGTCGAAATCGGTTATACCAAAGGACAGGTTGGCGTAAACTGGCCTCTTTCGAATACTACCTGGTTGGCAATCGGTATGATTGAAAATTTAGAGTAGAACGGTCTCATCGTTATCCAAAATTAATCGGTTAACCGTCGAAATCGGTTGTCGTTCAACATTAAAATGCGCAAATTAAAATAGTTGGCTATTCACCTTCTTCGGCTGCCGATCTTCTGCTCCTACCCAATCCATTTGTGACACCACAAAATAATAAAAGTGTAAACAAAGATATTATCGAAATATTTTGTTCCGTCATAATGGCATATAACTAGCAGAGGACATATAACAAAATATGTGAAATTAGAAAAAAGACATCTTTGGCCATAGTACTTAAAACAGGTTCCTAGGCTTTTAACTTTTTGTCTAAAACTATGCGCCCGCTCTCAGACTTGACGTATGACATTCTCCTTGTTACTATTACGTTATTTCTGATCTGTTTATTTATCATTCAATGCATCTTGTGTTAAGTTTTACAAAACTTTTTTCTGCTAACCTTGACATGGGCCAAATCTGGCCCGTTAGGTAATTCAATCCGACACGCCTGATGCTGTGACAAACAAACTGAAACTAAATTTTGAGGATTTAGCTGAAAATAACTCAAGGAATTTGTTGAGATTGCGAATAAATTTAGTTTCGGCACTAGGTTTATTGTTTTCCACTTTTGCTTTTGTAACTCTGTAAGTATTGTTCATTGAATGTAACTTTCTAAATTATACTCACATGGCCCGCCAGTCGAGATGGGCAAAATTTTTGGCCCCTGGCCTAAAAACCTTGCTCACCCCTGTCTAACCTAAGAAAGTAAGAAGCCAATGTACTATCCTATTACCGCTCCAACACAAATTTATCATATACCGACTTCCTTCAAAATCTGAATAATTGTGAAATGATATTCCACACACTCTGGCCAAAAAAACAAGTTTCAATTCGTGACTTGTTACCTAAGTGCTCTTGATAAATCTGTCTCGGTATATCGGCTCTCTGTCCTTATAAATAAAAAACTTTGTTTTACTCACTGAGCTTTTCTCATATACTTCCCTCTCCCCCTCAGTCGCCTTAATAAATGTAGAACCATATACTGCCAGCACCCTACAAAAGTTCTTAAGTTCTAAAATTTTTGTTACCGGAGCCTTGGGCTAAAAAAGTTATCAAAGTCGTAAGTAACATCTCTTGGCTTTTTTCCCTTCGCGACTCAATAATTGTGAAAATCAATTTTATACACTCTTGCCAATAAATTTCTAGGCAAGTCTAGAATGTTACCTAAGCCGTAAACTACTTTGTCGGCTTTCCTCTCCTCCTACGATCTCTCAAAAAGCATAAAATTATACCCGACTAACTATTCTTGCCAAAAAAATTCAATTTATAAATTCTTGTTACCCAAGCCTAAAGCTAATTCTATTATTAAAGATCACGCGCTATTCGATATCATGTGTAGCCGCCTAGGCACGTTCATTCTATCAGCCCTCGGGCGGTAATTGAATTTTTCAGGAAAATCGAAAAATAATTTAAATTTTGAAGTAATTGTAAAAAAACAGTAATCTTTATGGCTATTTCCATGCATGAATCGAAGATAAATGTTGTTATTAAGGTACGGGCCATCTATGATTCAAGTTTGTTTGATTTTATTTTCAAGTGCTTCAATATTACAAAGTCGAAATTACCGTGGAATTGCAGATAATGTTTTGCTCATTTTTAATAGTGAGCCTAGGTAACGTAACTTGGCGTTCAAGTTTTACGGCGTCACAATTAATCGTCGGGAACAATTTTACATCACGTGGTTATCGCGGAATTTGTCTTCGCCGAGTTTTGCCTGTCTGTGACAACGGGTTCCGTCGTTAAGCTCGTTAGGCAATGGTTTTGGACCGGAATTCCGTTTAGTTTAGGTGCTAAGCTCTGTGCGTAGCAGTGATAGGTAAAGAACAATTAAATTTCAAATACACCCTCTTACTTCAATTCCTAATGTATATAAATAGTGATTACAATTGAACAATAATATTAATTATTATTCCGTAATTAAAAGACCGGAACATTGTTATATCACGTGGATATCGCGGAATTCGCCTCCATCAAAACCATTCTTTGAGAACAGTCGTCCCTTGTTAAGTACGTTAAGCAGTGGTTTTCAATCGGGTCGTCGCCAGAAGATAGAGGGTCGGATCCCCCCCTTTTGGAAATGAAAAAAAAAAACATTTTTTTGTATCATACATAGAAATATTTCGTAGCTTGAATTTGCCTCCCTCCACCCGTCTTTGAGAACAGTTGTCCGTCGTTAAACAAATTAAACAGTGGATCTCAATCGGGGCTGGGCGTAGCGTAGCCATGGGGAGGGGGGAACCCCCATTTGGAATGCAAAAATATCATTTAGCTGTATCAAACATAGCAATATTTCGTAATTTAAAACGTATTTTAGTTCCTCCTTTTTCGCTCATGTTGCTAAATGAAATAGTCTTGTATTTGACTATAACTTTTCTTGATGAGGAATTTTCAAGATTGACCAATCATCGACAACTTTCCTCATAGCTCCTTCCAATCCCCAAGCTCATATCCATCGACGTGTAACCAGCTGATATTTTAATAAAAATTCAATTAACTCAATAGTATTTCGTAGATAGTCTTCTGTAGTAGAAAACAACATAGTGGTTAAGAGATGGAACCCCAGAATTATACCTATCCTATAAAACTCAACCGAATCGGGTATAAAGTTCTATGATTTTATAACCGAATTTGGAAATTCATTGAAGAAAACTAGACAACTCTCCAGCAGTAGCCTTTCGTATACCATTTCTTCGCCATAACCGCAGTTGTCATATACATAATATAAAATAGTGAATGTGGGGGGAGCTGACTCTGATGACCGTATATGGTCGTATCGCTCCTCCCAGTCTACACCGAAAAACGTTGCGTGTATTGTTGTATATTTTTTGTATTGTTGCAATGCTTGTTTTTCCGATTGACAAACAAGAAATCTCCCTCCTCTCTCTCTCTCTCTCTCTCTCTCTATCTCTCTCTCTCCCTGTTACATCCTAACTTGCCAATTACAACAATTCAAAAAACACATTGAATGAAAATGCATGTCCATAATAAAGAAATGTAAACAATATAGAAATGTAAATATCCAATATAGGGCGGGAAGATCAAATTGAACAAATATTTTAATTTGTAATTAGCTTCACGCTGCCTCGAAAAATTGTCTTCGTTCCACCTTTTGGGAACCACTATACAGTACAATAAAAGTGTGATGAGCTCTTCTTGTTGTTAAATAAGAGAAAAGTTTTCGAGTATCTTTTTTTATACCGATCTTAGCTGATTGAAACTCAGGTCACTTTCCGCAATGCTAGATGTTACAAATTGTGTTTTCGGTGCTCCCGAAGTATGCGAACCAAGATGGCGGACATCGGAACGTAACATGGGTAACAGGTTGGGGTTAGGCGATAACTTTTTTCCAATTTTCCTTATTTTAGTCCTATTATCAGTTCGAAGACTAGCCAAGAGCCTCCCGTAGTATTTATACCTAAAATTATGGCCTAATCCTAACCTAGTACACATATTACATTCCGATGTCCGCCATCTTGGTTCGCATACTTCGGGAGCCCCGTGTTTTCAATGTTTCACATTCGGAGTATGTGACCCTTACTGAGCATCAATTTTTTGTCATCAATTGCAAGTTTTTTTTTATTAAAAATTCTAATCCTAACAGACTCAGCCTTAAAAAAACCTGTTCAACTTATTTTACGTTTTTGCAATCTAAGTAATTGATACAAATTGGATACCAGGGGTTTCTGAATGGGCCAGTTACAGATAATAATAGACTTGGTCTCGATTTCAGAAGACACAAGTACGTTGGATAAAACAGTTCATTGGGCCCGTACCTGGTTTGAGGGCCATAATTTGTTCATGCCTAATTTATACCAAACTCTGTAACTTTTAACTGAATATCAGATACAAATTTTGATATTTTGGCGATATATAATCCCATATGGCCCCTATGAATCAATAACCGTATTTCAAACCAAACAGTCTCTATTTATCGATACTACTTAGCACTATGGCTCTGAGTTTTCACCTCTACCTGTAGCGGAGAAAAAAAACAAAATGGCGACAATTCGAATTATTTGCTGTTCGATGTGCCCAATGCTAGTTAGTGCTCAATTTGCAACAGTCAGGCATTTGATACAAATTGCATATCTTATGTTTGTATTTGGAGGGGCGGATGAGGCCCCAACTCTGCACCAAATTGTTTTCAAATATTAAAATAGACCACTTTGGAATGTATTTCACGAATTTCACGTTTCTACAGCAACCAAATAGCTATACAAAATCAACATTGTGTACTAGAGAGTCAACACCAAAAAATGCTTATATTTAGGGGTGGCACTGGACATTCACAAATGGTAACTCCACTAGCCCACCCCACCAAGGGATTTTTTGTGTAAGAAAATGATTTTATGAAGTGTGCGAATGTATTTGTATATTTCATGTAATTTTGTTCAAATTAACAGATGGGATGGCCATGTCGCTCCTAAGCATTTTTGTGACCCCACCTACTCTTGAGGAAAACTGTTAAAATTTCTGTTGACTTTATTCCGAAAAGGATAGAGTTTTTTGTTTTCGGAGCATGGACTTGATGGTGAAGGAAGCCGTAACCGACCAGCAGTTATGTGAACCATCCTACGGCGGCGAGGAGTCCAGCAATCCTTTCGCACATAAATATTCCTCAAGGGATTCGAACCAAGGCAATCAGAGATTCGGTGGCGAGCGTATTCCCAACGCTTAGCACAATTCAACACTCCGCCAACCCAGGATAGGCCAAATGTCAATTTTTTGAATTGTAATACACTGGGCGACGCCAAATATGCGCCATGTGTGTAAAGCATTATACTTAACTGTGTTAGCAACGCAGTTTATACATCCGGGTTCAAATTTCATGACCTCACCTTACCCAGGGGGTAATAACTTGGGCAGGCAATGCTGAACCAGGAAGTTTATGACCTCCCGGAAACATTGTGTTTTTTTATATATTGTTTGATATTTGTGGCTGAATATACGAAGCCTTTTTCAGAGTAAGTTGGAAATATTCTGTATAAAATTAAAAAACGACTTGCGCTCAGACTCAGCGTTGACATAAATTTTGACTGCCACTCGGAAACTCGGAAAAAACTAAAAACTTTGGACTATACAGGGTTTCAATAGATTCCCTTTACAGTTTCGATTTTGTTATGAAGTGAGTTTTCAATATATCATAAATAAGTTTGTTGTTTTTAAATCAG